AACTGACATTGGAATCACCACCCATAGAAGGTGAGACACAGTCGGTACTCTGAACCTAATCCAATTAAATACCACTAACACAAGCAAACAAAAAAATCAACACTGTCTAGAGGATTTTAAAAGAATCCGGAATCTCATAACATAATATTCAAAATATTCTGGATGCATTCAAAATTACTCAATGCACAAAGAACAAGGAAAATCTGACCAATACTCAGGAGGAGAGATAATCAACAGATGCCAACCCCAATATTAATCCAATTGGGATTACCAGACACAGGCTTTAAAACACCTGTTATAACCATGAGAAAAAGATGAACATTTTGAAATAAATAAAGGACAAAAGTTCTCAGCAGAGAAAGATAATTTTTTAAAGAAAGAGCTAAATGTAAAATTTTAAACTGGATGATATAATTTTTGAAATTAATAATTTACCAGATAAATTCAACAGTAGAATGGAGACAATAGAAGAAAGAGAACTTCAAGATAGATCAATAGAAATGACAAAATAAAAAGAATAGAAAGAAAAAATTGAAAAAAATCAACAACACAACTTTAGGGGCCTATCAAGCTAACATTTATATCAGCGGCATCTCAGAAGGAGAAAAGAAAGAGATTAATTCAGAAAATATATTTAAAGAAATAATGGCAGAAAACTTTCCAAATTTGGTGGAATACGTATACTTACAGATTCAGAAAACTCAGTGAATCTCAATCATGTTAAGCTCAAAAAAAAAACACCATATCCAGACATATCATAATTAAACTGTTGAAAAGCAAAGGTAAACAGTCACAAGAACGTGACGACACAATGGACCTGGAAGGTATGCTAAGTGAAATAAGTTAAACAGAGAAAGACTAATACCATATGATCTCACTTGTATGTGTAATCTAAAGAACAAAATAAATGTACAAACAAAACAGAAACAGACTCACAGATACAAACTGATGGTTGCCATATGGAAGGAGGGCTGGGGGATGAGTGAAAAAGGTGAAGGGATGAAGAAGTACAAATTGGTTGTTACCAAATAGTCATGGGGATGTAAAGTACAGCATAGAAAATATAGTCAATAATATTGTAATAACTATGTACAGTGTCATGTGGGTACTAGACTAATCATGGGGAAGCATGTCTAACCACTATGCTGTACACCTGAAACTAATAAAATTGAATGTTAACTGTAATTGAAAATAAATTTTAAAAAATAAATAAAAATAAAATCTTGAGACTCTTTTAAGAGGGAAAAAAGAAAGCAGTCAGAAGAAAAATAAATTACATAAATGGGGAACTATGACTTATTAGAAACTGTGGAACGCAGAAGATAATGAGAAAGCATCTGTAAAGTGCTTGTAAGTCAGTCAGTCAGTTGGTCAGGCAGTAATTAAACTATGACTTATTAGAAACTGTGGAACGCAGAAGATCATGAGAAAGCATCTAAGTCAGTCAGTCAGTTGGTCAGTCAGTAATTAATTAATTAATTGATTGATTAATTAATTAACTGAAAGGAAAGAACTGTCACCTCAGAATTCTATATCCAGAAATAAAATCCTACAGAAATATAAGCAAAAAAGGATATTCTCAGATTAAAGGAAACTAAGATAATTTATCACCAGTAGACTTATTTTAAAAGAAATACTAAAGAAACTTCTTCAAGATGAGGGGAAATTATACCAGAGGGAAATGCAGAACTTTAGGAATGAAGAAAGAACAAGAGAAATGAGGAATATCTGGATAAACAGAGTATTTTGTTCTCTTAAATTCTTTAAAATATACGTGACTAATATAAAAAATAAGTGACTATTGAAAGCAAAAATTTTAACATTGTAATGTTTCAGTGTATCTAGATGTAATATATATGACAACTATAACATAAAAGAGTAGAATAAAGAACCTATGTGATTATAAGACTTTTATATTTTACTTGAAGTGGTAAAATATTAGTTCTATGCAGAATGTGAAAAGTTAGGTATATACATTATAATCCTTAGGGCAACTACTAAAAAATATCACAAAGACATACAGCCAAAAAGCCAACAAATAAATTACAATAAAATACTGCAAAATATTCAAATAATCCTAAAGAAGCCAGGAAAGAGAGTGAAACAGAGGGAGCAAATGGTAAACAAATAAAATAATAGCTTTAAATCTACTTATTGACTTTAAATCTAACCATGACAACGATTATATTAAATATAAATTGTCTAAACATCAATTTAAAAAAGAGAGATTTTTAGATTGGATAGAAAACAAGACCCAATCACATGCAGTTTATAAGAAAACATATTTTAAATGTAATAATATAGATAAATTTAAAGTAACATGATGGAAAAAGACATACTATGCAAATAATAATCAAAGAAAGCTAGAATTCCTATATTAATTTCAGACAAAGTAGACTTCCAAATAGGGAAAATTACCAGAGATAAAGACAGATTTACATAAAGACAAAAGGTTAAATTCACTAAGATGTAATACTAAACGTGTATGTACCTAACAAGACAGTTCCAAAACACATAATGCAAAAGTTGGCAGAACTGAAGAAAAATAGACAAATCCACAATTACACTTGAATATCATTAATTCTAAAGTCTTGGCCACAGTTTCTCTCAAGAGGTGTTATGAAGACTGGTCCTTTCTGTTACCACAAAGAAATGATCCTGCTCCAGAGAGTTTAGAATGAGTGTGACATCGTGTCAGGCTGTGAGGATCACAACCTAGCCAGAAGCAGGACTGTGAGGATGGCCAGACATTAGCTAATAGATCAAATTTTAGAGAAAATCAATAGCAATTTTCCAGCAATATCACTCTGAGAAACCTGAGAAAATTCAAACATAACATTGACAGTTTCTTGTGAACAGGTGTTGTTTTTGCATTGGTCATTTGTCCCCCCCATTTCTGGTAACTGTATCCAGATTTTGCATTAGGGGAAATACCCGTTCCCCACCTTAAGTCATGATCAACTTAAGTCAATAAGTATGGTCCATCCTCTTGACTTCAGGGATTGGTCAGAGATGATGGACATACAACCTAGCTGGAGGCAATGAGATGCAAGGACATACTTGCTGGGGCTTCCGGAAGATAGAATGTCCTCTCTCCTCCTTGGGAACCACCAGAGAAAAAGGATATCCCTTTGGCCAGATGATGTGAGAGGGTATGATTGCTGGCAAGCTACCGTCTTTTTGATATTATGAGGGAGAACCTAGAACTATACTGTGTAGAACCTGAGGGCAAAACCTGTTAAAGGCAGAGTGGAAGAACAGACAGAAAAAGGTCTTTAATGATATCATTTTAGTCTCTGATTGACAGAACAGCTCTGGTATTTTCCATTATGCAAGGAAAAATATTTATTTTGCTTAAGTCAGTTTGGGTTGGGTTTTCTGTTATTCGCAGCATGGAGTCCTGACTATCACAAGGTTTACCCCTCATTCTCTCTCTCTAAATCCCATGTCTTTCTCCAAAAATGAAAACAGAAGCCATGTGATGCAAGTGCTTCTATTTTTAATGCTAGACAGTATCTTTACTTGTAGAAAATAATGATATAAAAGCATTTTAAAAGACAAAGCTTTATATGTAGAAATAATAATCACTTAATAGCAATACACATATAAAAAGGAATCATTCAGAATTTAAGACTGTAAGCAAAAAAATAGGTGTTCCATTTCTATATTTATACAGAATGTTATTAATGTTGCTTTTGCTAAAGACTTTGAAGAGTATTACTCCAGCTATTGTCTCCCAAGAGGATGTTTACCACTATCAACCACTTGTAATTCCTTTTTTCTGAAGAATATCTGACAATTAAAAATTGTATATATTTAAGGTGTACAATTTGATGATTTGATATAGATATACATTGTGAAAGTCACTATGATCAAGCTGATTCTCATACCCATCACCTCAGACAGTTATTTTTCTTCTTCTTTTTTTTTTTTTTTTAGTAATTCTTAAAGAGCAAGAATAGATTCAGAAGGCCCAGGTCTTTCCAAACCATGCTAGTGCTCAAGGAAAGAATAATTTCCAAATTCCTTCACAGGTTTTGCATTGCAGGCTCAAGCTTCCTTCTTAAGGAAAAATTCTTCAAGTGTTTTGGAAAGTGCAGTCATTTCTAACCAGAGGAAATGATTCAGACAGTCTGGTGGAACATAGATTAGGTGTTTAAAACTGGAATTCCTAACATGACAATGTTTGGGTAGATGAAGGTTAGTTGTATGAAGAGGCTAAAATGGAGTTAATTCTGGGTAGATGTGAGATTCAAGAGATTGGTCTTCATGAAATATTGATCAAGAACCTGCCAGGGGGCTCAGAGATGAGGAAAATACAGTCCTTTTGGGAAGTTGTCCCTAGTCCGGTGGGAGGACATCTTTCATACCCAGGACTCTAATCCAGGGTAATGAGTGAAGAAGCACAGGGTCACAATGCATGAGGAAGGTCGCGGGAAAGAGGTATCACATCAGAAAAGCTTCCTGACCGGGCGACTTTGAGGAACGGGGAAGATTTCAGCATATGGAGATGGAGGTGGCTTTCTGGTCTGGAGAGAAGAGCATGAGGAAAGACACAAAGAAATGACAGTACAGAGTAGTGCAGGTGCCATTGAGTGGTCCAGCTAGAATGGGACCTGGTCATAAAACCACCTGCTCTGAGGTAAAGCTTAATTCACGGTGAAGACCAATTCAGAGGCCCTTGGGTGACATGGATGAGAGAACCCCTACCAATATCCCAAAGAGGCCATGTACTCCTAGAAAAGCACATGGTCTATAAAAAAAGGTCCATGGCCCTGGGTAGGATTCCTTGCTCCGCCGCTTAATACCTGTGTGACCTTAGGCATTCATTTAACTCTCTCGGCCTCAGGACCTCAAGTATAAAAAGAGGAGAATAATTTATTTTCTGTGTATTTCACAGGATTAGCATGAACATGAGGAGAAACAGCAGGCACAGAATAGAGCTGTCAAATACTTTCTTGTGGTCAGTTATCTTGTCAGGTATGTGAAGCTCCCCAGTAAATGTTGTATCCTTTTATTGCCATGGCATACAAGATCCATGAGGCCAGGGTACATGTCTTCTTTAGGACTGGGAACATAGCATGTGATTTTTTTTTTTTAAAGATACTTGATGAATGAATGAGTAAATGAATGAATAATGTTCAGAGCCCTCCAACTAGATAACAACATCGATCTCCTAAATACACCAAAAACCTGTGTACTGTTCTTTGATTTTTGGGTTGTGTGGTCCAGTGGAGGCTCTGAATCAATGGTGATCAGTTGGTGTCATGATAGAGAAGGAAGCCTGTGAAGGTGGAGTCATTGACATTATCTGCATAGACCCCAGCATATTTCCCATCCTCATACACCTGGAGCCAGATTTGGTCGCCTATCTCCAGATGAAGCAGCACAGAGCCAGAGGCTTGGTCCACGTTCTTGTCCTGGTATTGGTCAAAAGTGAAGAGCACAGCCTTGTCATTCTTGTAGAGGCTGACTTTCACATCCTTCAAGTAGACTGTAATGTGGTAGGAGAAGTAGTACAACCCAGGAATGTTGCAGTGGAATTTGCCAGTGGTGCCATCATAGTGGTTTTGCTGGTTGTAGAAAATTTTGGTAAAGCGAATGGGAACATTGGGGACAGTGACCTGGGCCTCCAATCCCACACTGAATGCTGAGCGGTATACATAGGCATTTTCTCCAGGTTCTCCCTTCCTGCCTTGGACTCCTGGAAAGCCTCGAGGACCTTCAACCCCAGTTACTCCAGTTTCACCAGTGTCACCCTTGGGACCAACAAGACCTAAAAAATGAGAAAACCTCAGTGACCACAGAAACAGGATTACTGCATAGATTGATCCCAGCCTAAAACACTGTCCCTATAGCCTCCAGCCACAACCTTCTTGATTTACAGAGAAAGAACTAATGGGAGCCCCTATAGGGGAAAATTATATCTCCTTCTTCCACACCCCCCTCAGCAAGTTTCCATAAATTCTCTCCAACGTCATCTCCTATAAGTCTCCATCATGGACTATCTTTCTGCCGACTTTTTTTTTTTTTATAATGTATCAACCTTTATTGAAAGATTTTAAGTCAATAACCACTTGCCTACTCTCTACGTGCTGGCTCAACCAACCATACTCTTTCACTTCTATCCTTCCTGTCTTGGAGGCCCTCCCTCCTTTATTTTGTCTGCTCATCCTTCAAGGCCTAACTCAAGCCCCTCCTCTTCCTTAAAGCCTTCTTTGTTAATCCAAGTCTGTACTGAGGGCATTTTCTCTCTGTTTCATATTTTGGGCATTTGTCCACAATTTATGTGACATATTTGAAGTAGACTTCCTTGTAGTAAACTCTCACAGAGTCTTATGCATTAGACTTATCTTCTTAACTAGACCAAGAATTCTCCAGGAACAGGACTCCTGCAGGAGGTGTACATTGAGTGTAGACGAATGCACTGGATGGAATGGGAATTAAGTGAAATGAAATGGAAGTAAGAAAATGAACAGATTGTGAATAGGGATGGAAGAGGGTGAGGATGGGAAAACAGATGGGGAAGGAGATGTGGATAGAGCAGAATCAAGGGCACTTGATTTTACAACTGAAATGCCAACCCAACATCCACTTGAGGTTGTTGAAGGGTCACATAAAAAAGCTTTGCTTCTTCCCTGTGTCTAGGCCTTAGTCAATAACTCACGCCCATGTATAGTTCTAGAAGCCTCCCTCAGCCCAGGAGAAGTCTGACGGAGGAGGCAAAAAAAAAAATTGTTCTTACCTGCATCTCCTTTCTCGCCTTTCTCACCAGGGGTACCATCTCTGCCATCACGGCCTGGGGTCCCATTGTGGCCAGGATGCCCTGGGATACCTGCCATCCAACCAGTGCAGACCCCCTTGGGCAGGGGAAGCAGGACTCCAGGCTTCTCAGTCGCGGTATCCTGGCCATGACTGGGCAGGACTAGTAGCAATAGAACGGCTCGTAGCAACCACATCCTGAGCCCTGGAATTAAGATCTGCAGTGTCAGCCATGAAAGAGCAGACCCCACACAGCACACCCATTTAGGACCTAAGCAAGACTCTGGCCATCTCAGCAAAGTCCACTTCTGAGACCTACTCATCTCTTCCAGAAAGCTTTTTCTGACTATTTCGACTCAGCTCAATCTTTTTCTGCCCTGAGATTTGCAATATTTCGTTTTATTCCTTGTGTGAAATCTTTCCTCAGCAGGATTGTGAGTTCGGTGATGGCAAGACAACAGTCCTCCAGTTTCCTCATATCTGAGCATGGGATCAGGCACAGAGAAAGCTCCAAGAGTCGATTTGTCAAGAATCTTTCCCTTGAGTTTTCCAAGAATGTTGACTAAGATCATTCTATTCAATTCTAACCAACTTCTCTCTCTCAGCTCCTCCTTTTTCTTCTTCATTTCCCTTTCCCTCATTTTCTGTGTCTGTTCCTCTCCCTTTCTTTCCCTTTCTCTTTCTTCCTTTCCCCTTCTCCTGAGTCACATTAGACCATTTGGTATCTTACACACATACACACATACACAGATATATATACACACACGGGTATGTACATGCGCAATGCACACACACACACATACACACACACACACTCTTGCCTTGGATTAGTCAGACAAATGGAGACACATTATCCTATGAGAATATCCACTGACCATTGCCTGGTCTAGCCCTAGCTGCACCTCTTTACATGCCTGATCCCTGTGCAGCCTCAAGACATAGTTGAGATGTCATCTCTCAAGAACCCCTCCCAATTCTCTCTCTTCCCTGCTGGGTTGATCGTTCCTCTTCTGTGCTCTCCCAGTGCACCCATTTATCTCTAGCATTATACTTCTTACACTGTATTGTAATCCCTGATTTGTTCACCCATTTCCCCCATTAAACTACCAACAAGAGGTGGAGGAGTGGAATGGCAAAGCCTAACACACTACCAGCATAGAATAAGGACTAAATAGAGGTAAAAAAAAAAAAAAAAAAGCCAGAGAAAGGGGGAAGGAGAAAGGAAGGAAAGGAAAAGAGAGAGAGGAAGGGTGGAGTATATTTGAAATATGTATTACGGGAGCCCTAGCAAAATGCTCAAGTGGCACAAGTAGCCAAGGGACTCCCTGTCTCAGAATCATCCCTTCATGGCCCCCTCCTAGCAGATGGTCCTTCACATGCACAGGGACTCTGTTTCCCTCCTAGCTTCTGTCTCTGACATTAGGGTGATCTTAGCCTCACATCTTATCGCCAGAGTCTTAGTCTCCCCATCCCTCTCTCACCAGGGACCTGAAAGCACCGGAGAGAGGGAAATAGATCCTAGGAATCTGGACCACAGGCATTACTAAGACCCTCTGTGAAGTTTGAAAGGTGGTTAATCCCAAGAATCTGATTCTAAACAAAACGCAGTCCATGTGTATTTTTTTTTTTTTTTTAACCCTAAAGACTCACTATTTTCCATTAGTTTGCTTGTCTCTTATAGATTACACAAAGTCTCCAGAATTGGGTTTGGCTTCAGGAGATAGCTCCTCTGTGAGGGATGCAGGAAAGACCCTAAGTGACACAACCAACTCTTATTATATATATATACTCATCTTCCATTATATATGTATACATGTAAATATAGTCACCTTTTACACACACACACACACACACACACACGCGCACACACATGTGTTCATTAAAACTAGTAATATAAATATTTTGGAAACTACAGAAAACAAAACAATCCTCCATCCCCGGAATGTCTCTGTTTATTTTTAAACATGGTGGAAAACATACTTTGCATAGAAATTTTACTCCCCCATTTTGCCCTGTCATTTTCTAGTTTTTACAATCATCATTTTAAATGTGTATGTGCTAGTCCATCAAATGGATACAGCCAAAATACACTTAACCATTTCCATTTTGTTTTTTTCGCGTATTTCAATTTAAAATTTTATTTTTAAGTCTGTAACAGCTATCCTTAGGCACATAACTTATCCCCAAATTATTATTCTGTTATGACATATTTCCAGAAGTAAAATTACTACACCAAAAGATATGAACATTTTTAATGCTCTTGATTCATATTCCCAAATTGCAGTTCGTTATACTGTTACCCGGTAGTATGTCAGTGTGTATATAAAAGAGCTTATCTTAACTACTCTCACCAGCTTTCGATATTATCATTAAAAACATTATGTTAAGAGTGTGGCTCTGGGCAAAGATATGCTAATCACCAACTTCTGCTTCTGTAATCTGCTTGCTTGTTTGATATTAACTAGAGGGTGGTTAATCTGTTTGTTTGTTTGATGTTAAACCAGGGTATGGTTCTAGGCTTTATAAACTGCCTCTTTTGGGAGCTCAGGGCTGATCTCCACTAACCCTGCGTGATAAGAGAGTCAGTCGCCGGCCGGCTAATAAAGGCTCATAATTAATCTCAATTGGTTCCTTGGGTCTCAGAATCATTCACGCCATAACAGTTATTTTGTTGTTAGTTTAATGAACAAAAGAAATAATGCCTTCCTACTTTGATCATTAGTGAGTTATACATTTTATTAAAGGCCTATTGTCTAATTTAATTTCCTATCTTAATTTTCTCATTCATAATACTTCCGTTGGGGGTTTTTTTTGTTTTGTTTTTTTGGGGGTTTTTTTTGGGTTTTTTTTTTGTCACTTGTGTGCTTTTTGAATTAATTCGTGAGTTCCCTATGCCAATACTTTGTCATACATGCTATATTATTCCTTTGTTTTGTTTACCCTTATTTCTAGGTAACAGAAGTTTTAAATGTTATATAAACAGTTCTGTTTATATTTTTCTTTGCTTCTAAGTGTTAAACAGTCCTTATCCACACTAGGGTTGGTTAATATCCATTTTTATTTTCTTCTGTTGACTAATAAACTTTAAAATTCACTCTTTAATCTATCTCTGATTTTTTTTTGGTATAAACTGTGATCTAAAATATTCAACTTCTCCCTAAACTAGTTGTTTAAAGACATCTTTAATTAAATTAATATTTTCCCTCTCTAGTGATCTGATGCATTATTTATCAAACATCGAGTTCTAATATGATCTTATAAGTAAAGTAGACTGAGAATGAGACCGGCCTATGAAGAGGAGGAGAGATTGAAAGAGAGGGAACAGAGCAACCGAAACAGGTGCTGACAGATAGGAATGCTGCCCCCTGGCGGTCACGAGTCTCTAGTCTAGGCTCACTCTTAACCATCTACATGTAACTTTGTCGCCCTCTCTTGAATTCGGAAGGCTCAGGAAGGTGTTCTCAGCAGCCGCTGAAAATAAAATGAGACAGCTTGGCCTTAGCTTGTCCCAAGGTAAGAAGAAAGAGGTGAGTTAAATGAGAAGCCAAGGATGAAAGACCAGCCAATGTCTTTTGGATTTAGGAAGTATACTTGTCCTGAGACTTCTAAGACTTCATATGTCTTTAAACCTTCCTACTATTTGTCACTTCCATTTTTTCTCCTCATGGGGTTAGCAATAAAACTCCAGAGAAGACCTCAGAGAGACTTTGTACATATTTTTTCCAGAAACTATGAGGCTGCACTCTTTTCCACAGGGAACAAGAGGAGAGAATCCAGAATACAAGAACTGGTGGAGGCAGCTACAGAAGGACCCAAAGATAAAGGGTGATGGGGGGGCCTTACTTTAGTATCCCCTCCATCTTACTGCAAACCCCCATTTGAATCGGAGGGAATGCAAAGTCAGGAAGCATCTAGAGTTCTCTGGTTCCTCCTCCTCTTTTTAATGTCAAGATTCTATTCTCCCAGCCCAAAAGAAGGCATTCTGCCCTCAACACTTCAGTGTTACGGACATATTTTTCCACTAACAAGGACAACCAGTCTGGGGTTCATGAGAGTGGGTGGACATACTGAAAAGAAAGGTGAATATGAAGATGGATACATAATCCATGGAAGTCTCCGATGCTAAGAACAGATTCTAACTGAAGAAGGTTATCTCCTAACAGTTCTGGATGGAAAAATCATCAATTGATAATCATTGAAAGCTAGTGCTGAGATGCCTAATTTTTAAAAAATGTATTCCAAAATTATCTGTGCTCTTCGTTTAGCTATAGCAATCATTACACTTTGATTTTGAAAGGGTTCTATTTCCGTAGGGGAAAACATTATTAAATAAAACCATAATCTAAGACTCTATCATGTGTATAAAGAAACCTTTTATATGGATCGTGAAACTAAATCCCAAGTTCCACTAATAATTCTTTGTCATTGTAGAAATTCACTTGTAAAGTCCTTACTGCAATTTAAATCTCATTTAATTCTCATAACAATTTTGAGAGACATTATGATGTTGAACAGGGAGCACATGCTCTATGATCCCAGTGTTTGGGTGAAAATAATTTGTTCTTACCTGTAACATATTTCAATCATGCATTTATTGGAGGATTAAGTGGAATAATCCATATAAAGTATTTAGAACAGTGCTTGGCAAATGTTAGCTCAGCAAATGTTAGCTATGATTATATCTATTTTAGAGATCAGGAAAGTGGGCTTTGAGGGATTAAGTGACCTGAATAAGATCTCAGAGCTAAACGTAGAAGAGCTGGAAATCAAACTCTGATCTTCCATAGCCCTATAATAGACTCTTAAGCATAACCCAGAGGAGGAAAAAAGCATCAGGATCACACATCTGTCTTTTAATATTCCACTCCACAGGATGGGAGATATAAAACAGTACAAAAAGAACCCTCCAAATTATGATGTAAGTGACCTGGCTTTTAATCTAGGCTCCACCATTAACTGACTGGGTCACTTATTTGCCCCTACCCCACCTCTTGGACCACATGCTCTTTGCCTGCAAATTGATTATTAGTGATTTTAATCCCTACCTAGCCTATTTCACATTATTGTGAGAACCAATTGACTAAAAGTATAAAAAAGTATTTTATAGATTTATAAGGTATTCCACACATCTAAGTGAGGAGAAGGAAAGCAAGCAAATATTTATGGACCACTTGTATGAACCATCCCTTTAATTTCATTTCATCCCTCACAACTCCAGGAGATAGGTCTCAATTTCTACAGGAGAAATCTGTGGAGTAGAGAGGTTTGATAACTTCTGCCCAAGGATCACAAGAAAAAGAGTGTAGACGTGCAATTTGAAATTCAAAGACTGAGTTCTTTCTACTGCATTGGCTTTCATGGCAACTGTGGACAGGATCTGTTCACTTTTAAAAATTATATAAGAGATAATCATGATATTCTTTGGATCATAAAGGGCCATATTACAATCTCTCATTTTCTTGTGTTAAAATGTATAAGAAATTCCACTTTGACCTACTAGAATATCTGTAACAACAGCAGAATCTTGTGAAATGCAAGAATAGGGTCTTCTTTGGGACT